TATTGGCAAAGTGACTTTTTGCAGAAATTGTCCTATTGAGATGGAACTCGTTGTTGGCCTACAGTTACGGCCCGAAAAGGGCACAATTTCCATGCTGAGCCTCTTGATGAAGCGCCCTGGAACGTGGTTTTGAATTCATGGGTGGCTTTATGATTATGCAAAGCAGTGTATATATTGGTGAGACGGGAAGGATGTTAGGCACACGTGTCAAAGAATATCTAGCAGGTGAAAGTTAAGGAAACATCTCTACGCCACTCGGGAAGCATCACCTAGAAGTACATAAGGCAATAATTTTGATATAAAATGCAAAATTCTAGCCTACGAGAATGAGATCGGTGCTGAAAAGATTTTGGAAGCTTGCCCATCCGCGAGAGAAACCCCAAGCTGAACAAACGAAATGAGTGCATTGCCATAAGAGGCAAATTTCTGCCACTCCTTTTCTTTTTGTAAGCTTTGAGAAGACCGCGCAACTCTTATACAACGACCGTCAATGATGTCTCATTGATCCCCTGTTGTTCTGTCTCATTGATCCCTTGTTATTCACAAAATTGGGTGGGAAGGCAACGTTAGTGAAACCGCAGAAGGTCGGTTTCTCGGCTGGGATCTTTTGGTGTTCAAGCTTCTGGAAGCTATTGCAGCTCGGCTAGCGCGTTTGGGCGCTTTGTCGTGTAAGCCAGGGATCAAGTGCTACGAACTGCTTCCAGATTCTAAAGACGACGATTTGTTTGAAACGTCGATCAAATTAAGCGGTTTCTACCATAACAAACCTGTTCGGCAAAACAGTGTTGAACACTACGACATACCCTCCAACCGCTGCCAGCCAGTTAGGTAGAGAAGTGTGTGTGATGTTGTTGTGTCGATAGTATCGGGAATGTTTTATAGCGTGGTTGGCGTATTCGGCGCACTATGCCTGTGGTAGTCAGTTTCGTGACTGAGATTATCAACTACATCAGTACTCACCTGGTAATAATATGCGTAGACTTGAAGTGTGTTAATAAGTATCCGATCGTCACACTAGTCGGGCTTGGTGGTCGGTACACTGTAACGAAGTCTTTATAGAAAAATGTGATGAGGCAGAAGAGATCTGAACAGAGCCTATTTGCCTTACCAGCAGTAACATGTGTGACAACTTGAGTTTCAAGATTTCTTTCGACTGGACAGCAGACACTTCCACCTTCGAAGGCACATTTCACGATATTTTTGGAGTATCTAGTGGAAGTGGTGGTCCAGATTAGTGCAAAAAAGGCGAAAAGAGTGAGAAAATCGGAGTATTTTGTGAAATGTAACGCTTTGAAAAAGAAGTAACATTAGGATCTGGGCGAGAATGTGTCGACAAAAGTTGTATGGAAGCAGTATTTTGAAAACTGCTCAAATGCGCGCGCCATTGCATACAAGCTGGTTTATTACCTGTGGATCCCGGTGTAATTGGCACAACCTTTTACAGCGCTACAGAACTCGTTTGCCTTCAGCGTGTACGTCGGCTAAGCCTGTTCTGGACTCCTAATTGTGCCCTATCTTGACCGTTCGTATTCCCTCAGGCTATTTTTAAGGGTCACAGGTTCGTGAAAAGGAAGAGTCTCAGGCATCAATTTCATCTCGAAGCGTGCCTTTAGGTCCAATGTTTGAGTAGAGATGGGAAATAAGGGAAGTATCTAATACCGGTTGGGCTACGCATGCTAACATTGAAGCATTTTTCATGCTCCGTTTGCACGACACTGCTTCACCCGAAATTCCGCTTACCTTTTATTTCTGGAAATCACGCATTAAGAGTAAAGCACTCGATGCGTGATTGTGGATTTTTTGAGGCGTAGCTATCCATAACATTTATTACCAAAATTTTGTGCGAATTTAACTATAGAAATTTGCGCGCCAGAGATGTAATGGAAAACAGCAGAGTGTTCGATGATGAACTGATTTCATCACATGCCAGTGAAGAAGATTTCCTACCCGACTTCCTTTCTTCTCCTGAATGGAGATTTGATCGCCCTGTGATCTGTTTTCTCACCGCGCTCACGTGATATTTTGCACTACTTATCGCCCCACTGACTTTCGCGGACTGATATATAAACAGACAGACAATACTAGCGCTCTCTATATGAAGAGATTTCAGATTTCAGGACATTCTACTTTTCGATGAGAGCAAACCATGCAACTTGAATGTTTCAGTGAACTGTGCAGATACGTGGGTTAAGTGGTTCTTGTTTACCTTTTCTGGTTGTGGATGATTTCCTGCGACTAATTAGGCTATTTCTTGAGCACGTAGTCCCGCTGTCTTTTCTGAGCGACAATATATTCACATATGAACTCCTGGTTAGATCCAGGATTTCGTAACAGCTCAGCTTCAGTAATGGTATACGGAAAATCACTTCGGCCAGCCATAGGAGATAGAAATCGAACATGCCTATTCTACCAAATTTGCATTTGTTTTCCGAATCATGCGTGTGATAGTGTGCCATTTGCCGTGCACACTACCCTCCAGTTCACGCAAGAGAACTGCCAAACCTACAACAATGAATTTTTTCCCATTCGACTTCCCATTTTTTCCCAACTTCAAAGGTACCTAGAATTTCTCTCGGCGTATTTTGACGTCGTGACTGACGCATGTCAGTGTGCGATTCCTGGAGTCCATACATAACGCTTGGAAGCGTTTTCGCTCCGGAATATAGCCCAGGTGCCCTTCAGAGTAGTGGTAGAAGGAGTAGTTTGATAGAAGGAGCCTTTTGTGCTTTATAAGTCTAGATGGGATGCAACGCTGGTCTTGAAGAGTTTCAACTTTTTCAACGTAACGTTCCTTAGAAGTCTGTCTGGCTTCTGACCCGCTGATGTTTTTCTTAAAAACTTTCTGTTGATATTCACCTGTATCACCTGTATCACCTGTATCACCTGTCGTCCCGCTGATCATCGACTTCCTCGAGCGGGCGCCAGTAACGTCTCAATTCGTCCCTGTCACGAGCCAGAGTGGTCCAGTGAATCGTCCTCGTTTCAGGGACACGAGGTTCAACATTCCTTTCGTTCAGAGCTTTTGTGAAGAAGTCTGACCATCTCGTTGGCGGCCTTCCTGGAGTTCATTTGATGTCCCGAGGAATCCAGTCAGTAACCGCCCTGGTCTAACGGTCATCTTTATATCGCATGTAACGTGTCCGGCCCACCTGATCTTCGATTTTTTGGCGTAATCAACGGCATCCCTGATCTTCGTTCGTTGACGGGGCTCGGAACTCCGGATTCCTTTCTGCACTTGCGTGTATAGGGAAATTTCGAGCATCGCCCTTTCCAAATCGCGTTGAGTAACGCTGTCAGCATGCTCATCCTCCTTCCGTAGAGTCCAATTTTCCGACGCGTACGTCAAAGCAGGAAGAACAGCAGTGTCGAAAGGTGCACGCGGAGCCGGATGTTCTTTGTGTTCTTCAGTATTCCCCCGATATTCTTAAATGCTCCCCACGAGGCGCGTTTCCTTCTGCACAGCTCTGGAGCTAGGTCGTTCATCATGTTGACTTCCCGACCTAGATACACATAGCTGGAGCATTCGAAGATATTCGTTCCGTTTAACGTGAAAGGAACACCATATACCAGTCCGTTTTTCATGAACATCGTCTTCGTTGAGTTCAGTCTCAAGCCGATCTCTCCCCAAGCACTATCAAACTCGGCCAGCATTCGTTCCGCCTGCGCGATGTTCGGTGTTATAAGCACGATGTCGTCTGCAAAGCGGAGGTGATGTAGGTAGCAGCCGTCGACCTTCACTCCCAATTATTCCCCTTCGAAATGACGCATGATATTCTCGAGAGCGGCACTGAAAAAATTGGGCAAAACAGTATCGTCTTGCCGGACACCTCTCTTCACGTTGACAATGACTTCCTTGTAGAATGGTGAAATCCTGGTCGTGAAGGTGTCGTAGAGCTCACGAAGCATCCTTATATATGGAATAGGAGCACCCTAGTTGCCCAGGGCTTCAATTACCACCGCTGTCTCAACGGTGTCAAAGGCTTTCTTCAAATCGATAAACGTAAGACATAACGGCATTTTATACTCCCGCGATACTTCAATGAGCCTTGTTAGGGTGTGGATATGATCGATTGTGCTGAACCCTCTCCGAAACCCTGCTTGCTCGCATGGCTGTCCTTCATCTAATATTCTGCCAATCTTGTTGAGGACAACATGCGTGAAAAGCTTGAAGATTACAGAGATTAGATTGGGCGATAATTGCCAATATCGTCTGGATGTCCCTTCTTATACAACAACACAGTCTTGCTAGTTTTCCACGACGTGGGCACTTTGCATTCCGACAGGTGCCGTGTGAAGAGCCTAGCCAGAATTTTGATAATAACAGGTGGGATACTCTTCAGATGTTCTGGTTTAATCCTATCGGGATCGGGCGCTGTACAGTTCTTCATCGACGCGATGGCATGTCGTACTTCGGAAGGGAGAACCGAAGGAGCGATATATTCGTCTTGCCTAAGATGGTGAGTAGGCAGATAGACGTGGCTGTCGAAGAGATCCGAGTAGAAGTCGTAGATGACCTCCTCCATTGCCCTCCGGGATGCAGTAACGGTTCCGTCAGGACGAAGAAGGGAAGTCATCTTGGTCTTGTCATTGGCGAAGCTCCGTCGGGCTTTGCGAATGCTNAGCTCGCGCGATTCTACGCTGGCGTATCAGCTCGAGAGTACTCGAAGAGAGTCATCTCTCGGTTTCTTGTAGACTATCTGCTTTCCTAATGCTATCGTGGAGGTGCTCGACGAGCCGGTTGTATTCTTGGTCGATGTTGTCGATAACGGAATCTTCCCATTTACTCGCAAGGGAAGCGAAGTGGTCCCAGTTGTTGGAGGTCTTGGGGCTTCGTTTCCTAAACTTCATAGCTCTCTCTCCACCCACTGAGAAGTAGAATCTAGCGCGGAGGAGGCGATGGTCCGATCCCGTGTAGAACTTCGGGACAACAGCGACATCACTCAGGCAAAATCTCCGATTGAAGGTGATGTGGTCTATGTACTTCATTACGGAACTGTCCATCAGGTGACTCTCATGTCCATCTCAAATGAGAGGGCTTCTGGAACTGCGAGTACCATGGATGGTGTGGGTCGACATGATATATTACATATATTGTGAGTCCCGATATGAAGCTCTTCAGCCGTTCTTCTGGGTCCAATCTTGGCGTTAAAATCACCGACGATGCCCTTGAAGGAAGTGTGGTCTTCTCTGTAGAGCCTCTCCAAATCCATGAAAAACGCTTCCAACTCTTCTTCTTCGTAGCTCGATGTTGGTGCGTAAGCACCGAATATGGTTGGAGCTGGGGTTGAGCCACCTCTTCTTAATCGCAAACGTCCGATTCGGGTTGTTAAGCTTTCATACGAATCGAAGTTCATGGCCAAGTGCGTATTGACGAAGACACCTACGCCGCCGACGCCTCTGCTGTCACATGTTCCAAGGAGCAGTTCTTCTCCAGTCTCAAAAACAGCGTGCAGCGCGCGATGCCTTCTCGTCTCGGTCAGTCCGATGACGTCGTACTTAATCTTCCTAGCTTGCATCGTCAGGTCTTCTGTACACGCTTCCGATGCAAGCATCCGTGCGTAGAAAATACAGATCGCCATCTTAGTACTTCTCCTTTTGAGCAGCCTGTTTTGGCCCTGAGATTTCAGCAGCCTCTCCCGAGCGGTCCTACCCAACGCTGCCGTATTGGGGGCTCCCTCAGGTTCAGAGGAATAAGGCCCATTTCTATTACTGTTTTCGGCGTGCAGATTCCCAACGTACAGCGTGCCAGGCTCTGAGTGAGGGCTAGGTTTACTCCAGGGCTTGCCAGGCTATCCCGAAGTAGACGAAAGGCTTTCTTTTTGGAGGCGGCCCCGAATCGCCTCCCAGATACTTCCCAGTCACTCGAATGCAAGCTTTTGGCCGAGTCGATGGGCAGGATATCGCACCCACAGACTCTCCACACACGTATGCGTGGATCGCTTGCGAGGAACAGAGGGTATCTCGGCCCAGCACAGCAGAATCAAGGAGTCCATCCCCTGAATCCACTTGCGTCTCTGGGCAAGTACCGGTGACTTTTGGTCGGCGATTAACTCCCCCATCCGCCACCTGCGGACGCCCTACGTAGCCTCTTCAGTAACCGGCTGGAGATCCTTCAGTGAGAGAGAACCCTCAGTGAAGGAGACCCGTAGCTGTTGATATCACTTGACCAGAATTGATATTTTGTCAACTGTTGCTATATATAACGCGATATGAAGGTCTCACAGAGTTGGTGATTCGAGGGCAAAGCATCGGCCTCGGATGGTACTCGACCTGTACTTGTGCTTTCAGGGCACCTTGCTCTTTATCCCTGACATTACCAAGACCCTGCTTGCCTTCCCCTTGTGGACATTATTATGTAAAGCTCACAGCCTAACGCTTCAATGCTGATATTATCTGGCCGGCTCAACAAATTGTATGTGTAAGTGCTGATAAGCTATGGTATAAAAGGCATTAAGAAGGCGAGGGCAAGCGGGGTCTCGGTAAAGAAAGGGATAAAGAGTACAGTGCCCGGGTTCGATTCCATTCCGACGCCGAAGCTTTGCCCACAAATCGCCAACCTCGTGAGAGTTTCTGTTGAGTTTCGCTCTCCGTTGTTTTTTTTTTTTGATCTATCTACAATCTACATATCAAACGAACACGAACGATAACAGAAGTTACGGCGAGAAAAAAATCATCTCGAGTATACAGCTCGGCTGAAGAAATAGGTTCCTCAAGATACTGCAAGCCTTGAGTCATTCGTGACTTGGAGACTAGGCTTATAAACAGCCAGGCTACATTTTGAAAGCGGTGTTGCAAAACTACAAAGTTCGTTTCACATATGTTATTTGATGAAAACTGTTATCTTTAATATTTCAAACAAAATTTTTTCAATGGGCAAAATCTTCATTCTTTCCAGCAGCGTGAATTTGGATGATGACGATCCAAGCTTCAAGGTCTCAGTGTAGGACCCGCTCATCTCCCTCCAGTTAGTGACTTCTGTTGTAATGTGCAGCCTTTCAACCTACTTAGCGTCCTAGAATAAAATTCCAACGCAAAGCCCTGATCATGTTTTCACAAAAGTAACAGGCGTACGCATATCATAAATACGGTTCTGATCGCTCAGGTACTTTCATTAATCTGTGTCATCCTTCTTTCCGTCTTTTTTCATTCATTTGTCTTCCTCTCTCGATTTTCTTTTACTATGTTATTCAAAGTACGCATGAGCTAATCTTGACATTTGAAGGTACCTATGTCGTTTAAATGATTATCCGAATGTCGATCGTGTATATTTTAGTTTGCATATGCTCAGTTTGCCTTGTTCTTGTCAAATGCGGTTTTATAATACTTATTTATTGTTTAACAAGCCAATTACTAAGCTGCAATTTGACTGTGTAGAATTTACGAGTGAATTTGCTCACTGCCTAGAGTATTTGGGTTTGTTACCCCGCTAAAGCGCTAAAGATCATTACTACAGGATCGCTGGGCAGACCCTCGCTTATAATTGCGTTGTTATCAATAAATGTTTCAAAAACGCATACTAAATTTTTTCCATTGTGTCCTCTCAGTGCGGCAGTGCGCAGAGTGTCAAATGTTCTGGTCGGGGATGTATAAGCGGCGTGACTAGCGGAATTTGAGGCAGCTAGTTAAGAGTAGTTAGGAAATCGAAACGGCTGTAGGCATCAAAACGGCTGTACACTTCGAATAAAAAGGGTACACTCATATAATCCTATATATTGATTTGCAGCCGATTCAACTTGGGTTTTTTGCCGAAGACACAACACAACCTAACTGCTTAAACTAGATGGCTAGTCAGGTTTTTTTTTTCTATTTTCATAGAGTCCTCAATAAAACGATTTGACAAAGTTATTTCAAGCCCTGGTTAGGTTCCATCGAAGTTTCTGAAGACATGTCACTGGCGAGCCCTACCTAATTTCTGAATAGTATTCAATAGCTTCAACTAAATGTTATTGGTGGAAAATAGCCAATCTATTATGAAACTGAACGAAAGTAGACTGTTGCATCCTTAGGTTCTACTAATCATTTTGATATATTGAAATGAATGGGATTAGCCATGCACGATTTCTGAATGACAGTGGGCTTCCGATGTGAAAAATAGCAAACATGAGTCATTCCTAGTCCCGAAGAAGAAGTAACCTTCAAAGAAAAAACATTCCATCTTTGGTTTGCGAATGGTCTTCCCGAAATGAAGAAGCGCTACTCGAAAGCCAGCAGCACGGCACTTTTTTTATAGAGAGTAAAGGTTTTCTTGCTTTTCGTATGGCATTTGCGGTGTCCAGGAAGAAGTCATGCGTCAGTCAAAGTGATTCAATCAAAGCTGCGAATTTATACAGTACGTTCATGATTCAAGAGAAAAAGTTGCATATTTCGAAACCACGATTTTATATGCGCTAGTTTTGGAAAACTCTATTGCCGAATTCCTTTTCTGAAAAGTTACTGAATGATATGAAAATCGAAAAGTTCATCTCGAGTTAACACCTTCAGCACCGATTTCCTTCAACACTCTTTCGCTTCACAGCCCAACTAGCCGTGTGGGCCACATGACATGCTCCATCAATCCAACACCCATGGAAAACTACCTCTAGTTAGGCGTGTATAGTTTTTATGCAATAGCTTTCAACAAAGGCTGTGTGTCGATATTTTGCACCATACTTTCGAAATCCATCGTGTATAGTAATGGAATATAAGTCAGTATGGTTCCTGCTCACATTCTACCAAGCAATGCCTGAAGGTTCGAATATAGGAATAAGTACGTACAGGCAGATTATTCAAGTTCATTGGTAGAGACATGCCTGATGTAAGGGGGAATTCGTTTATATGTATGGCAAGAGGAGTTCTGAACACCAAGATATGTTGCGTTCTTAGTGCCTCATAGTGAGTTGATTCAAGCATTTGGTCGCCTCGAGGGCACAGTTCATTTTGAAAATGGTTTCTGAGATTTCTTCCTTTCATGAACATGTGACCTACAAAGATAGCTTAAGGGAGGCTGTCCGGTTAAAAAACGGCCAAGACAAGACGTAATAAGGGCCTCAGAATCGGCTAAGCCGACGTAAACACCCAAGGTGGACGAGTTCTTGAGCGTTGTAAAAAAAACTGTAGAGATTGCACCATTCGCACCGGGATCCACTCCTTGCAAACAGGCAGCTCACTGCAGCCAGCTGTATGTAATGGCACGCACATTTTAACACCTTGTTCAAATCCCCTTATATACAGCTTCTGTCGTATTTTTTCGTCCAACCCTGAATTTTATTTTTTTCTAAAGCCTAGTGCTTCTCCGAAAACACCGATTTTCGCGCAGAACTATCGTGAACTGTGCCTTCAAGATATCCTCTTTTCCATAGAAGCTAGCTGCAGCGCCTCCGAGTGGTCGTAGGCTTTGCCAGCCGATGTCAGCGGCCCCAACCTAGAGAATTTCGAGTTCGGTGTTCTCGAAAACCTTGGCATATGCAGTGTTCCGTGATGTCCTGCAAAACGAGTTTGTTGTAGTTGAACTTCTTGATTCGGTCGACGTCCAAAAAAATCATCGTCGTCAAGGACCCCAAAGAAGTCAGGAACTTTTGATCACAATCAAGAGTTCCTCACTGTAGCTTACTTTATCAAGCGCCCAAACGCCCAACGAAGTGATCAAACTCTTGCAGCTCCACCAGCGGAACGACACTGATGATCGTAACCCACGTAATACATGATGATCTCAAAATCCGCAAACAGTGATGAGCGACAAAAGTTCTTTTTTGATGACTACAAACTCACTTCGGTTGATCAGCATTGACTTCTATTGCGAATGTGTAGCACTTACAATGTCTACCTGGCACCGATATCATTCTTGTAAGTGAGTATTTCGCATTCAATGTCAAAATCATTGCCTCTATCTTCTTACAATCGATACTTTCAAAAGCGTAGGAAGGCCTTCACACCCCACACCTGCTAGTTGCTCTCTGACGCGTGCATCTACCAGCCTTCTCATCTCACCAATGAATACCTCGCTAAAGGGCGTACACCGAAGTTGATATTTTCCCCTATTTTTTCTCTCTGCTTTCCAAATGGACTGGTGATGCACTAATCTGTAATGCACGGTCACCACGCTTACTACAGATTAGTTGGTGTTTGATATTGTCCCTTGGTATGTTTATCAACTAATGATCTCCTTCACAGGAGGCTCTTTCTCACCGGAGGATCCCGACCAGTTAGCGACATGGCTACGTAGGGCGTCCCCAAGTGGCGGATGGGGAGTAAATCGCCAATCAAAAGTCGCCAGTACTTGCTCAGAGCCGCAAGTGGGTTTAGAGGAACGACTTTCTGATTCTGCTGTACCGGTAGATATACCCTGTTTCTCGCAGGTGCATTCACGCATAAGTGCGTAGAGAATTTGCGGTTGCGGTTGGTATCCTGCCCATGGACTCAGCCAAAAGCTTGCATTCGAGTGACTGCGAAGTATTGGGTTGTAACATAAGTTCGTAGAGTTTCAAGGTAGAGTTATTTTGCAACAATTTAATTTATTTTTCAGCAAAGTGTATACATTCAATCGAAAGGGCTTTCTACAAAACTGTTTTATTCGTTTTTTGGATAACCTAGTCTTTCGCCTTTTTTCTGGCTCAGAAATGGAATATCCAGGAGGAAAAAATCAGCATTTTCGACATAAGCTTTTCTTCTTTTCTTTGCTTTTAATCGAGGTCAAAAAGCAACCGAAGCCGCTCGGGATATATGCAGTGTGTACGAGGAAGGTGTCTTAGGTGTGTCTACTGCACTAAAATGGTTTACGAAGTTTAAAAATGGCGACTTTGATCTTTGAAGACACGCCTCGAAGCTGACGACCTGCAGAATTCGACGAAGAGTGTCTGAGCCTCGAAGCTTTTTAAACTTTGAGAACCATTTCTGTGCAGGAGACACACCTAACACACCTTCCCCGTACACACTGCATATTCCCGATGACCTTTTTGAACTCCTCCTGGATATTCCATTTCTGAATCAGAAAAAGACGAACAATTAAATTATCCAAAAAACAAGTAAGACAGTTTTGTAGAGGAAAAAGAGCTTTTCCGAGTGAATGTAAACACTTTGCTAAAAAACAAAATAGGTCGTTGCAAAATAACTCTAACGCAAAACTCCACAAAGTTATGTTACAACCCAATATTTGGAAGGCCGATTCGGCGCCGCCTCCAGAAACAAAGCTCCTCGGCCACTTCTGGATGGCCTGAATGACACCCGGAGTAGATCCAGCCTCCCCCCCCCCCACGTTAGAGCCTGGCAGGCTACTCGTTGGGCACCCATTTGCCAAAAATACTATTAGATTGGGCCCCATTCCCCTGAACCTGAGCTAGCCCCCAATACGGCAGCGTTGGGTAGGACCGCTCGGGAAAAGCAGCGAAGATCTCAGGGCCTACACAGGCTGCCCAGAGGGAGAGGGTCTAAGGTGGCAATCTATACTTTCAATGCACGAACGCTATCAGAAGCCTGTATCGAAGATCTGATGATGCAAGCCAGGAAGATTAAGTACGACGTCGTCGGACTGGCCGAGACGAGAAGGCATCGCCCGCTCCACGCTGTATTTGAGACTGGAGAAGAACTGCTCCTTGGAACATGTGACAGCAGAGGCGTCGGCGGCGTAGGTGTCTTCGTCAATACGCACTTGGCCATGAACTTCGATTCGTATGAAAGCTTAACAACCCGAATCGGACGTTTGCGATTAAGAAGAGGTGGCTCAACCCCAGCTCTAACCATATTCGTTGCTTACGCACCAACATCGAGCTACGAAGAAGAAGAGTTGGCGGCGTTTTTTATGGTTCTGGACAGGCTCTACAGAGAAGGCCATGCCTTCTTCAAGGTCATGGTGGATATTTCAACGCCCAGATTGGCCCTAGAGGAACAGCTGAAGATCTCCACATCGAGACTCTCGGAAACTAATGGGGTGAGCAGTGTGAAAGGTTATCCGAGTTTATCATGTCAACCCACACTATCCATGGTAACTGCAGTTCCAGAAGCACTCCCATACGCGAAAGGCATGGGAGTCACCTGGTGGACAGTCCCATTATGAAGTAGACCACATCACTTTTAATCGAATTTCTTGCCTGACTAATGTCGCTGTTCTTCCCAGGCTCTTCACGGGATCGGAACATTGTCTCCTCTGCGCTAGATTATGCTTCCATCCTTGGAGAGAGAGCTGTGAAGCTTACGAAAGGAAGCTCTAAGACCTCCATCGATTGGGTCACTTCGCCTCTCTTGAGAGTGAATGGAAAGATTCCGTTATCGACAACATCAATGATGAATACAACGTGCTCGTCGATCATCTTCACGATGGTGTTAGGAAAGCAGAGAGACTACCAGTAGCCAAGTAACGACTCTCTTTGAAGACTCTCGAGCTGATACGCTAGTGCGGAATCGCGCGGGCTGCAGGCACTCAGCAACAAACGCCCGAATTCACGAAACTATGCAGAGAAGCGGTAAAGGAAAAAATCTGAATAAGAGAAGAGCAGCCGTAATGGGCAGAGCCGCCGAGGCCGGAAAGAGAATTGGCGGAGGCTGCCCAATTACGAGACCAAGGTGAATCCTCTTTTCAGTCGAACAACTACTGCGTCTCGAAGGGCGATTGAGAAGGTTACTCAGATTCCTATTCGGAATTTTTCGACAGCCACGTCTACCCGCCTAGACGCTTAGACAAGACAAACATATCGCTCTTTGTCTTCTCCCTCTCGTAATTCGACATGCCATCATGTCGATGAGTCGACTGTACGGCGCCAGGTCCCGACAGAATTAAGGCATGAAACTAAACTGATTTCTACCAGTTGTCTTCAGAACTCTGGCTGGGCTCTTCACGCGGTTCTTGTCGGAAAGCAAAGGGCCCACGTCTTAGAAAACCAGCAAGACTGTATTGCTGTAAAAGAAGGGAGATCTTGACGGTATTGGCAGCTAGCGCCCGATCTGCCTGCTGTCTGTAATCTACAAGCTTTTCACACGCGCCATTCTGAACCGTAATGGCAGAAAATTAGATGAAGGACAGCCATCGGAGCAAGCAGGGTTTCGGAGAAATCTCAGTACAATCGATCCTATCCAAACTTTTGAAGACTCACATGAGTATCGCGAGGGTAGAAACTGCCGGTCTGTTTTAAGTTCATCGATTTGATGCAGGCCCTTCATACTGATAAGTCATTGTCAACGCAGAGAGGGGCCCGGCAGGGCGATACAATTCGCCCAAACTTTCCAGTGCCGCTCTCGTTATCATCATGTGTCATTTGGAAAGGAAAGACTCGGGAGTGATGGCCGACGATCGCTACTTACATTATTTCCACTTTGCAGATGACATCATGCTTATAACACTGAACATCGAGCAGGCGGAACGAATGCTGGCCGAGCTTGATGAAGCTTGTGGAGAGATCGGCTTGTGACTGAACTTAACGAAGACGATGTTCATGAAAAACGGACTGGAACCTGGTGCTCCTTTCACGTTAAACGGAACGAATATCTCCGAATGCTCTAGCTATGTGTATCTAGGTCGGGAAGTCAACGTGATGAACGACCTAGCTCCAGAGCTGTGCAGAAGGAAACGCGCCTCGTGGGGAGCATCTAAGAATAACGAGGGAGTGGTTAAGAAAACGAAGAACATCTGGCTCCGCGCTCACCTTTTTGACACTGCTGTTCTTCTTGCTTTGACGTACGCCTCGTAGAATTGGACTCTACGAAAGCAGGATGAGTATGGAATTAGCGTCAATCAGCGCGCTGTGGAAAGGGCGGTGCTTGAAGTTTACCTACACACGCAAGTTTAGAAAGAATCCAGTTCCGAGTTCCGTCATCGGTGAGGGATGCCGTCGATTACGCCAAGTAACCGAAGATCAGGTGGGCCGGAAACCTTATTCGATGAAGTGATGACCGTTGGACCAGGGCTGTTACTGACTGGATCCCTCGGAATGTTGAACGAGCGGAGACAATACACAAGACAAGGTTCGCAACATTGGAGACGTCACTGGCGCCTCCTCGCTCCCCAATTAGCCCGATGACGGGCCATACCGGTGATATGCATCCAGTTCAACGATTGTTCGCCATCTCTCTGAATTTTTTTAACTGTTCCACCGAGAGCTGAACAAATGTTTGATTGTGCTACATCCGTGCTATATACATATATGTATATATAAAACGATAACTTTGTATGGCTGTTTGTTTGCCCCTTTGTGCGTCCTTGCGAAAGTCACGCAGGCACCATGAAGAGTGTGAATGTCACATGAGCGCTGTGAGGAAACGGTTGTGAAAAGGGACGCCAACTGATACTACTCATATTGGTTCTTAAACAAGTCGTAGGTAAGCGGTAGTGAGCATGGCGTGGTGCACGCGTTAGCGTGCATTGCCCAACTGGTATATACAGGGTGTCCCAAAATTATTGGCGCCGATTTATAGCAATATATTTCAAATTTCTCAGCTGCAAAAGACGATGGAATCTCAATGCACGTTAGCCAGCAGTATGTGCTACAACATGCTACAGTCGCCTTTAAAATTTCCCCCATGAGCGCGGTTAGAAGTCAAAGATTGCTCTTGGCTTGATCGCATGTGGCACGCAGGTTGCCTTCTCCATTTCTTCCCAGCCATTCTTCAGTCTTTGCATTCTAGACTCCAAACTGGGACTGCACACTCGACAGGTCCTCTTCTAACCAGAGACCAGTCGTGGGGTCAAGTGAGTCAAGTTTTGAAAAATAGGATGACCATCCCTCCTCACCAATTAGTCGGGCAGCTGTCGTCGGCACCACTCGTGGGCAAGCTTGGCTCTGTGGGCTGGAGAAGCGTCCTGCTGGAAGGACAACGAGAAAACTCAGAAAACGTAGTCGGATCAGTGTTTCATTCACCTCCATCAGTACGCCGTTTGAGTACTAGTCTTGGTCAATTTTCATGCCTGCACCAAAGAAACCATGAGCGGCTTACCCTTGCCAGTGATTTCCTCGGAAAACACACTTTTACTATTCTGATAGCAACCATTTTGTGAGATATTACACTATAGGTGTTTCTTTCCAGAACGCGAACGTTTTGGTTGTTAAGGAATGGCTTTATCTTAAAAAATCTCTTGACCAGAGAATACGACGAAGGGTTGCGTGTCATCACTTTCGACTTTCTGCATTTTCGGCCCGGCAGTATCTGTTGAGATCGGAATTGAAGCGAAATTTCTGCATACGATAGGAACGGCAGTGAAACTTCTGCATGGCATTCTTCCATCGCGATAACTCCTGTAAGCCGGGCCCGTTGACTTCCCTTTGATTGGTCACCTAGAGTCCCGACCCATTGGCAGACGGACCATTTTAATAGCCCCCTCTTCAGAAACATTCTACCTTTCTACCTTTCCTGGTTTGTCTCTGATTCAAGCTTTTTTTCTGTATCGCTTAATAGCCTCCTATACGGTTATTACGGAAATCCCAAGGAATTTTACAATGCCCTCCCACATCTCGTATGCCGTCTTCTGCTTGAAAAAAAAA